GTCAAAAGGAGCATGCTGGCATACGGGTTCAGGGAATTCGAAAGACTACGTATACTTCGCCTCTCGATTATTTTTAGGCTCCTTTGGACATCTCGAGCAGATCCCTTGCGATCGCTTTAACACGGAACGAAACGTCCAATTAGGGGACAATCAGCGATGCCCGGGTTAAACATAGCGGGAAGGTTAAGCCCTGTCGGGACTGTCGAAATGATTAACGTCGATCGTTCGGATGCTCGACGCGTTGCAACCGTGATAGAATTAAAAGTGCATGCCGCCGGATTGAAGTTAAGTAACGAACCGTGTAGTCGGCTGGTAGATTTCGATGCGCGTTACAAGAACCAGGTGCCAGCAGTAGCCCGCGACATTTTCGCTGATTAGGAACTCCGGTGACGTCGAATTATTCATAATCAGGGTTGGCGTGAATAATGCATTCGATGCCATGGTAATTATAGCAATCGGTTCGATTGGCAACCGCCTTGATGAACCCATCCATTAACGTCTATAGCCACACGTAGGCCGTGCCATGCCGGCCACCTTCTGCGTGGTGAAAAAACCTGGGGGTTCGTGGAGAACCGCGGAGAATTTTAAATATCCATCCTGGCAACTGCCCAAACTTTCTGGACGAATTTATCGCGCGGCAGCACACGTATCCTCGTTATTATGTACACGTATGCTGCTCGTAAACGACAGGGCGGAGGGAGGAACGGGAAGAGAGAAAGAGGGAGGGGAGGAGAAGAAAAAGGAAGACGTGGAAAGAAACACGGAAACCGAAAACATTTTTTCGCCGATTCGATGCAGTTTCCTCAACGTCCAACCGCTACTCGTCGTCGACCAGATGATCTTTCGTAAGAAACGGTCAGGAAGCCATTTTCTCTCCTTTTCCGACGGTCTCGCTGTCTCCGTCTCTCTGCCCCGATTTTTGGGCAAGAAGCGAAGGGAAAACTGGGTCAGAGAGGTTCCCGAGGTCTCGATCTAGGCGGCCCTGGTACGTCTCTGTTCGATGAATCACCGATCCCGATGGAATTTATGAATTCGTACGCGTTGCCCTCCTTACGATAATCCGCCTTTTCTACTCGGATGATCACGAGAGGGAAGCGTCGGCCACGCCGACAAGCCGAGACAGATATCCTCGAAACTCTTGGCACTTTGGCGCCAGACGTCGACTCGAAGTTTGAACGGTTAAATTTTGCTTGAATTCGAGCATTTAGTCGCGTGCTGAAAGAACCTTGGAGACCAAAGCGGTTCTCCTTTTTTCCCATTTTCTTTTAATCGCCTTGCTCGGCCTCTAAGAGACCCTGGCCATAGCTCGAATCGCTATGCCGGATTCGTTGCAACAATTTCCACTCGCCGTTCGCGCTTTATCAACTTTGCATATCGACTTCGTATCCAGCTTCCTCGCGAGTAAATTTCTCACGCCTGTCGTTGCTCCCTTCCTCACCGAGTTTGACACTTTCTTCGTCCTTCTAGCACCCGGGACAATCTCGTCGGCCCTCGGGTCGCCATTGTGGGTAAGGAGAATAAAGCGGCTACCTGAGATAAGGAGGGAATTTATAAGCGGCAATAACGGTATCGGCTTTCCGCCCTACGGTACAATTTAAACCAACCACAGCCCTAATTGTCGACTTTTAATAGTTTCATACACGAAAACGAATGCCTGTGCCAGGTTCCTGGTGTCACATTTTTCCACCGACTCGCGCACACGTGTACAGAATCCGGGAGGGGGTTGCTCGGTGAGCACCCCTGGCCTTGACACGAACGGCCCGTGAACATGATTAATCAGCCTGATTATTCTTAATCGTAATTTCCCGAATTAGGCGTGTCTCGCGGTAACCGGCGAATGTCGTTCAACATTCGCTTTAATGGGAGTTCGTGATCGTTTGAACTTTTGCGCTTTCGTGAAGCCATGAAGTTTGATATCGAGGTATTACCTTAACTAGCACGGTGGTGGAATCGAACTTCCTGTCATGGAGTAGGATACCGTAAATTAATCATGGCCTTTCATCGGTATCGTGACCTGGAACTTTTTCCAGATCCGTGAATCGTCGAAACGACGATTTAACTTAGCCCTACGGTGCTTCGTCGAAACATTCGGAGATACGAGTAAATTTTCGGCAAATAAAACACGCGCGTTGGGAACAAATGTTTTGGGGAGTAATACTACACTCGGAGTGACACGCAAGTTTTGCAAATGCGTAGGTAAAATTTATTGGATGCGAGCTACGCCGATGGCTATAGGGGTTATAATTAGTAACCAGAAGATGAGTGAATCTAATATTAATTTTCCGAAATAATTCGACGTTGGAATATTTTTGTCGCGCTTATGTTCTACGAATTCTCCGATATTTGTCAGATTTGTTTCCAATTTTACCCACGTGTCCTCGACACTTATATCTCACTTCAGATGTAATACTAAAAACACGCGCTCGCGTTCAATGTTTCACGAGTTCTTCGATATTTGTCAGATTTGTTTCTAATTTTACCCGAGCCTTCTCGACACTCGTATCTTACTTCGGATATAGTATTACTTCGAACACCCGGGTCCAACGTGTATACTACATTCGTTAAATGTCCACGACGTTGGAATGCTAAATACACTGTCTCCGTAGAACCCGCCTCTCTGTACCATGGACCAAACAATTGTAAACTGCAGACTAACCCCAATTTTAAGAATATAGACACGTGTGTGCCCACGTACGCGACTTGGAAATGACAATGGAGTTGCCGAGTGACCGGATAAACTTATCAAAGATCTGCCTGTACCCGTTCGATCATCAGCGACTCGAGCTCTATCCATCGGGTGGAAAAAGAGCGAGAATCAGCTTAGAAGATGGCTGTTTTTCGAGAAAGAAAGATGCCGTGGACAAAGGCAGGACGCTTTTCGAAATGCTATTCGCGAGCGCGACGACGGTTGCCGTTTCTAGGGGGTAAGAGTCTTAACAGGGCGAAGAGAAATGTCCGCGGCTGGATCGTTATTCGCGAAGGAAGTCCTGGCGTTATAGATGCTTCATCGATTACGCAGTCGTCGTTAGGAATTATTTAGCATTCCCAAGGCCTGCAGATACGATCTGTGGGTATTTGCGTACGAGATAGATTGCCTTCCGACGTCGTGTTCGATTACGGTGCAAGAAGACAGGTGAAGAGTATCGAAATGATGGACTCGTTGGCGAAGAAGGAACAGAGGAAAGGGAAAAGAAACGAGCGAACACGGTTGGATGTAGGTGCTATAGAGAGGACGTCAGATTAGAAGCCAAGGCTTGACGGACAGCAATGCCACCGGGACAAAAGCCCACCCTGAAGGGGCTGGCATACATATTTTTTATTATATAAATTGGCGTTACAAAGGTTTCCCAAGAATTTATCGCGTTAATGCCTATTACCGGCCGCCCTTCCGTACGACAGCTCGAAGCTTTCGTTAACGAGCGATGATACGCAACCTCATCGACTTACATTTCAACCGGGTTCTTAACACATCTCCTCGAGGAAATCCCAGCGAAACTAAACGAAGGGGAAATTATTTCGAACGAGATACGATTTTCGTCAAAAGGAAACGTAATCGTAATATAAAATCTTCGAAATCAATTCGGATATCGAAGCTGTTTATTTATTTTAGGTTATCTCGAGCACCCTTTGCGACGGAAAGAAAATGTTTTGCTGAAAGCCGCGTCATTCCGCGCAAATCTTCCGGATCTTTTGTGCAAAGGATTAAAGACTCTTCCGAGCACTTAATCCGCCCGAGCTCGGCTATGAAAGCACGTTTAGTCGTATATCAGCGAGTGATTATGATGGAAATCGCGTGTGTCGTCGACGATACTAGCGTGCAATCCAATAGTACCGTCTACGGGCAGTACGAAACGAAAACGCAACTTGTACGGTATCAATTTTCAAAAAGCGTCACTGCTTTTCCACTTTTCGAAGCGGAAACGAAACGACAAAATGGGGATGTTCTTTTTGTCGGGTTCTCGAATGAAAATTCGAATGAAAATTTGCCCAATGGACAATGTTCATTGAGAAAAGAAGAAATCTGCGAAGACACGAAGGAAAATACCATCTGTGTTTTGCCACGATCAATCGCGAGTCTCGAACCCTGTCAGTATTCCGCAGGTCTACTCTGCCTCGCAAGGACTTGAGGCATGCCTCGAGTAATATTGCCAGTGACATGCATTGTCCTATTGTGAAACAGAACTACCCCTTTCTTCCATTTAACCGATTCTACCCCTACCATAAAGCCTCGCCTCCGTCGAGATGTTTTAAATAATATTGAAAACGGAGTTCTGGCTCGATGCCTGCTCGTTCCATATCCCGGGTGGAGCAGTTCTAAAAACTTCGATTATATCGAGCTGGCCAGAACGACAACCCTCGAGCTGTTAACTTTATTTTAATCTTCCGCGGGTAAGGAAGTCGTGACTCTTAAAAAACTTTCATTAAACTTTACGCGACCACGAATATTACGGGGGAAGCCCAGTTCCCCGTGGCAAACGCTGAAATTGATTTTTCACTTTTTTAACAGCTTCGTTATTCCAAGCCCTGCTTTCTCCCCGATACGATCGGCATGCCGGATGATAGCGAAAGAGTACGACAGACCGTCAAATTGGTCATCTAATTTTAATGAAAATTTTCCATCGCGCAGTCGCTCGCTAGGCTCAGCTTAATCGGGATATAAATGACGCGTGATTAATTATTCGGGACTTACGATTTCGCGTAATTACGTCCGTGATAGAATTCGGAATAAAGAACGAGCGATTGTATTTCCCGACATCGACGGGGAAAGAAAGGAGGAACAGCTGCATTTAATAGAACATTTGAAAATCAGCGTTTCTCGCGGGAGCATGAAATTATCTAATTACGTACTCTCGTTATCTAGATAGAGAATAATTCTGTGGATTCGGAAAAGTCTCGTTGTCGAATGGAAATATTTTGCGTAAATTATTTCGTGAAAATCCATCGACTCGGATCGACTCGCTTTCGTTCCATCTCGCAGGATGTTCACTGGCGAGACTCACCGTGAGTATCGAACTTCCTGATGATGGTTTCGATGATCGTTGTCCTGGGCGCCACGTGACCTCGTCTAACAGGCATCGTAGGAATATTCCCAGGTACCTGGGCCGACGATACGTTTGGCGTTCGATCGAAGGCTCGTTAAGCCTGCTTTAATAATTAACGTGTAATACTACAGCACTGAAAAAACACTCGCAGCATGCGTACAAGCACGGTAGAAAAAAGCACAGCACGAGTTGAGCATAATGATCATCGAGGACAAAGAGAAGCACCAGCTAATATCGGCGACGTTCGTCACAATTCGTTTCCTAAACCCTGTTTTGTTCTTCCTAAAGGAGAACAGGGGAAGAGAAAGAACGGGGGAAGAAGATTCGTTGCTAGTCCGGACGACGAGAGATGTTCCTTTTTCTTCCGTTCTAGACTTCTTACGTAGGTACAAAAGGCGAGGGAGATAGTGAACGAGGAAAAATGGCCACCAAGAAAGTTCCGCTTAAAGTCGATGCGTGTGTGCCTTTGCCTTTTGCTTCGTGGACCACCTCTCTGCGTTACCAGTGTCTTCAGCGAGAGGATCGTTGTGTTCCTTGGTGTTCTTGTTGTACAAAATTCGCATATACAGCTGCGTGGACAGAGTCGATACGTGTTCGCCCTTCTAGAAGGCTGGATGTCTTTGTTTGACTTCCTTTTGGACCCAATACTCGTCTACCTAAATGTATCTAAAGATCAGAAGAGGCTGTAGCAAGTGACATATGGTTCATCCTCCCGTTGATCCAAGGACACAGAGAAGGTCGGCCTGAACGTCGTCTCGACGTGCGTGACACGAGGCGCGACTGTATATACCTCTGTTCCAATGTCTGCCTGGCTCAAGACGTACGATCCACGCGAGAAAACATCTATTTATAGTTGATATACCATGCGCCACACGGTGTTCCCACGAATTCCAGAACAGGGCACCAGGAATCTGGAAAACGTCGTGTCGTCGTTAATGATCTAAGACGGTTCTTCGTTTGTGCACGAGGATTCTCTCCCCTTCCTCACGATGTCTTCCACGTCTCCCTGACTTGTTCCCTCGGATCACACGCTCACTGATCTCTCCTACGAATAATTCCCTTTGACGAATCCCGTTTACTCGAGTCGCGTCGGTTGCCCGATACCGCTCCCTTTCTTAAGACAGTCAAAGAACGACGTGCCGCGAGTACCTCGACACTCGGACGTCTTTGATGAAGTTGGGAAGCTGTCTGAGCAATGTTGGCTGGTACGATCGCACCTTCTCGACGGCGGATGCTCCGTGGAAAATTCGGAGAAGCTTCGACCTCGTCGGTTCGAAGTCAAACCTCTCTACATCCGGAGGAATGAACAGTAGACGTCTCGGAGAAGCGCATTGTGCGGACATTTCCACAAAGTGTTGCTTAGTGAATAGATTGGAAATGTTCTCTGGGTGTGCTGTGCGTCTCGTTGATTCCACGAGTTCAACGATGGAACACCATTGGCGAATGCTCGAATTTCACCAACGCTGACACCTGTTTCACGATTGCGGATACGCGGAGCGGGTGTAACGAGAGGGTCGCGGCTATCATGGCCGCGTGCGGAAAAGAAGCGAGGGGAGCGAGGAGAATCGTAGAAGGAAAAACGGACCGTCGAAGGTGACGACGAGAAAGGCACGTGGTGGATTTGTGGTTGCGTTTACACGAAATGCCAAAGCGCGATTACGATTGATTCACTGCGATCGTTGCTCGCGATAACACGCCCGGAACGTACACTCCCCTAAATCGAATGTCCTGCTTCGTGGGGGTCAGGCGGTTGTGCATTTCAGCTCGAACTCAGGGACAGTTATTTTTATACTTCTTCTTCATTCTCCGCAACAATAACTGGCGGATCGCGTGAGTGGCTCTCACGATTTTTCACGATATTTCTCGAAATTCTCATCGGCTCCTGTAACCTGTTGGCGACGGCCACTGACACTGTCCACTCGAAACACTGTTTCATCCACGCTTCTCAACGATTCTTTCTTGTTCGTACGAGACAACTCGCATCTTTCCGACTATCCACGACGTAAAAATATCCCTGGTTCTTTCACGATATATCAGCGAATCTCTGGTTCGAGCTACAACTACATCCTTCTCCTGGCCACCACGCCTTGCAGGTCCAAAATCGAAGCTCCTGCGTCACTGTGTCCTCTCAACGTACTCCGATGTAATCCTAACTAAGAGAACGTTCTATCGAAAAGAATTCCCATTGAACAACCGGCACGGTATCACGGGATTGTATTGCTAAACACTGTTGCTTTCCCGCGTGCTCCCACCTTTAAAGTCAATGCGTCTACCGGCGATGAGGCATCTCGAAGCCGCGTGCCGAGCAAAACGCCGGAAGGGAGACGAACAGTAGCTTCCTTCTGGGAAGGATTTTCCGTCGTTTCGTTAGTCGCCGTCGTTCGGTCGGAACTGAAAACACGAGGAGGCACGACGGGCCGACGTCTCTCTCGGCAACGGCGACGACGACGACGACGAAGACGACGCCGACGACGATGGTACGTTAGGGGGGTCGTCCACGGCGCCTGCGTCGTCGCGGCGTCCCCACCAACGTCACTCACCACCCGATTACACCGCCCTATCATATCCCCTCGCCAACCAGTGATAATATTGATAAGGTCCTGCGTCTCTTTCTGCAGCGTGTCGTCCTCGTTCCGATGGAATCCGGTCAGATACACAACCAGGAAGGGATGTCGCGGATAATGTGGATTCTTTGGAAAAAAAAAGAAGAAAATCGAGAAATTGTTACCCTGATTATTGCGCTAGTTACTTCGCACTTGTTAAAATGGCGTGGTACAGGGGTGGTGTGGGAGAAGCAGGATTTTCAACTATTTTAATATCAGCCGAGAACGAAATTCTAAATCTTCTATCGGAGCTATAAATTTCGTTTTATTGGCAAAGCGGAGGACGAAGCGTAAAAGTTTAAAAGAATTGCGTTTGAACTTGTAATTATGTTTTTGCCATTTCATGGATAAATATCGGGGTAAAGAGTAATATTATTTTTACGAGTGGCGTGTGAATTAGTAACGATTGTAACGATGTGTAATTAAAAATATTGTAAGACCTGGAAGCGTTTGTCGTGACGATTTTATTGTCTGTTTTATTATAGTTCGTGCGCCTTGTCGGTCGATATAACTACACGCATTATCTCTTTCTGTTTAACCATCAGCGAGCTTTACTGCAGTTCGTGTTCGAATACGAGGTTAATTATAAATCGTTACCGCAGACGAGGAATAGAACAGACTCATCACCTTCTGCGACTACGTGTCCTGTGTTCTGAAATACCGATTGTACAAAAAAATCTGAGATTTCCTTATGCCCTCTGTAAATCTAAGCGGCGAGTGGAGGAATTAAATTCGACGCAACCCTTTAATCGATAAAGCAGATTTGCAAACACCCTCCTTTAGAAAATCGTTAAAAAATAATTACATTACGTATGATCCTATATTAAGATGTAAAATTATAAGTAAAAATATTAAAATTTAACAAATAAATAAAACTTATTATAACTAAATTTATTAACTATAGATTAAATTGTAGGTTATGTTGAAAATAACATTATAAAAATTCATAAATTATAAATAACAAAATGACCAAAATATAGACTTATTACAAAAGTAAAAAAGATTAATATATTATTGAGCATTACAACAGAAAGTAATCTGCCGAATCAGTAACGATCGTGACTCTACGGTTAAATTTGAGCAGCTAGCCGCTGGCTATATAAAAGCCGAGGCAATGCAAACCGAGTTCATTTGTCGATTTGACTTCGGGTCGAACGAATCGTATAACTTTAATCGAGATTGAACCGAGAAATGAATAGGATGGACAATGGTTATCGACTAGTACCATAGGCCAATCGATGACCATTGTTCATTCTATCCACTCCATCAATATATAAAATTTATTACTAATATAATTTACGATTATTTAATAATATTGACATTCTCAATTATTTTGTAATTTATAATTAAGGTATAATTGAGAATAAGAACCTATTATTGCTAATAAACTTTTCGGTATTTCTCAAATGATTTTCAGATCTATGATACTCATTACTATCTTGTACCTCATCGTTATGAGTTATTGAATTTTAATGAAATAAATATGTGAAGCAAGTTAAATATATAGGAGATAAACACTTACCATTTGGGCCGAGCGAGGTGTAGAATATCCAAATTACAAGTTTCTGTGTGAAGACTTCTATCAATGCTCTCCTTCATTGTCATCCATCTCATTGAACTATAGCTTCTTCTCTTCTTCATCCTGACAAGAAGAGAACAATTATATTAAAAATTAAATTCGCTTTTTTCTTTCGTCTAATGTTATTTAACCTACCAATGCTTGCCCCACGATTCAAGTTCCAATGACGCGGCCATAATCAACAGCACAGTCGGTCACACGTCGAGGCACTTCGTGCGAACACAGCGAAGAATAACACGTAACTGACGAGTCTCGACTTGTCTGGACAGAAAAACATCGACGAAAATTAACCAGGAGCTTGACTCGTGTTTACATTGAACCGTACCTATAGACCATAGCTCTCGCTCGTCACACTCATATTTTGACCGATTTCCTTACCACACGTCTCACACGATATTGTAGGCGAGAAGGTTAAAGAATTTTGACGCGTATCGATATCGTCCATCGATAGAACTGTTCAGTGCGAATATCCTGACATCTTTTGTTCAAATATAATACACGAAGAAACGAAAGTATAAGAAAATATCGACTAGAAAAATCAACGGCTGGTACAGTCAGAATACTGTTTTACCGACACAATTCCCCATCGTATATGCTTCCAACACATAAGAACGTACCACGAGAAAAGTTCAACTCAACATCGAAATCGAAAAAATTCTACCGATTAAGCAAGCTACATATAACGAAATTATTAGGAGCAAGCTACTGCACATATTAGAGTATATGTGACGCATATTGCGATATATGCAAACAGTTTGCATAAGAATATTCGCATTTTATCGTTATTTATGTAAAGCATGATTATCTATTCAATTGATTCGAATGCAAAATGCCAAACGACGCCATAGTTTGGACCGTATTGGACAACTCCCTTCAACTACGAATCGATTTTTCGTCTAAAATCTTACATCTATCATCGTATAGATTTAAAAATATGCATACCATAGCTCGGGAACCTTGTGCAACTTGTGGTTGATGGAAAAGTTGATCCATTTTCTTTTGACTTGTATTTTCCAGCAATTTGCGTAGCACCGTCAATGGCGCCAAACGTGTTCCTCGTCGTGTCCTCCGTTCGAAAATGGCGGTGTACGGAAAGAACCGAAGAGGTCGCCACTAACGTTCGGGCGTCTTCGCCGACCGGCGACTTCGGGGTATACGGGGTCTACGAGACTCGAAGCACGGAGCCCCGCCCTGCCGCCCGCCAGAGCCGTGAAGCAGCAGTAGCAGCAACAGCAGCTCCGCTTGCTTCGTACAGTTTTTATCCATGAAAACAATTGTCTGAACATCGTATTGTTCGACTGGTTATATCAACTCGTGGTACACGCCGTGCCTGTCTCCGTTATTCCAGTTCACGCAGTGACGGTTAACCTTAAAAAGTAGTGGCGGTCGCGGTGGTGTCGCGAGACAGTCCCGTGGTGAAACGGACTCGTCTCGGTCGTTAAGGCGTCGTCGCCGAGTGCGTTCGCTCTGTTTCTCGACGTTGTTCGAGACAGAGAGGTGTGAAAAGGAAAGTGCATAGTCATCGATGTGAGAAGTCGAGGCTAGGAAGAAGGCCCGCCGCAGCAGGAGGGAGAGAGTGAGAGGAGCTGTTCGTGGTTACGAGAGGCCGATATATCGAGCCGGGAATTTAGGCAATCGTAGGCTCCGTTAGGGAGCTCCAGGTACGATAATAAACTTTTCTTCGCGATAGCTCGTAATTTTCCGTCTCGACCGAGCGTAAATGCCATTATGACGGGTGGCCCTGGCTGGCCCTTCGATTCGATCGGAATAGCCAACATGGCGACCGCCTAGGCTACGCTGTCAAATTTTCCTGTTCCGTCATCGCGGTTATTTTAACATCGGTTGCGTTTCTCTTATGTACTTCATCGTCTAATATTTCGATGTCGTTGGAAATAACCTCGGTTGACTGCGAAGAATTTCGGTAATCTCGGTTTATCGACTTCTCGATGCGAGCCAGAGCCGGCTCCCGCGGTAATGAGATTCTTCCTGCTTAAGCCGAACTTTCCTCGTTCGGGAATTTTTCACAGCGTAGAAAGAATAAGAGCGAAAGCTCGTCGCTTCGCGATCAGCAGCCACATATTACGCGAGCTGAATTACCACTGTTAGAACTTTTGCTTAGCTAACGATATCCGAGATTTCCACAAATTTACATAGGAGATCAATAACCATTAATTCACACGGTACAAGCGTCAGTATTTCATTATCTATTAATGCATGTGTGCGTCTTGTATTTGTTATGAAAGTGTATCTCGTATTTAAACTACCAAATTATCATTCGTTTCCAGTTTTTTTTTTTTTTTTTTTTTTTTTTCCTCTTAATCTATCGCAACGATATGCTCGTCGGTAATAATTTACCAACCGTTTACGTGCATTTACCATCGATTCGCTTCGCTATCAAAAACGAAGAATTCTTCCTGTCCATTCAGTGTGGGAAATATTAGTAAGATGGCGCGAAATTTAGTCGACGTGAAACGCCATTGTTGACACTTATTTAACTACGAAGCAGCCTATTCGAATTATCTTGTGACACAACGATCGCAATAAAGCGAATGTTGCATAATGCGTAAGCACAGGTTTTGTACGAAAACAAGCGTCGTTAGCATCGGTATCGGGAACGTGGCGGTTGCCTTTACAAAATCGTGGCTCCCAGTAATAAAAATATCGCGACGCGTTTTCACACGCGGATCTTCGAATTACCGACGTATTTAGTTATTAAATATTACCACTCTCGCGTTCGCATCGTAACCGGTGTAGCAGCGTTAATATTATTATTACAGGCACCTGTTTAATTCAAGACTCGCCTTGAAGCTTGTCGCGTTTCTAAGAATCGTGAAAGCGATATTTACGTTACGAGTCGTTTTCAAGGTGATCGATCTTAAAAGCGACTCGAACGACCAGAATCGCACGCAATATATCTTCGTTATCATCGCGGTGCTTTCTTTCGTTTTCTTTCTCCTTTTTTCTTTTTATTTTTTTTTATTTTTGCCGTACTTTTCAGAGGTTACGTTATTTCCATCTGCAATGAGTCACGTGAAAGAAACGAACTACAAAGGAAATGCAATCAGCTGGACGTATCGAAGACCTTGAATTATTGTCCAATAATTTTACACTACCCCGTAACGCTCCGTTTGGGAAGAGAGTAATACCAGGTCAGGAATTTCCTTTTCAAACGCCTCGATACCTCCCAACGTTCTTCTAATTGCTTCTATTTCTAAACCTACAGATAATCCTTTTACCGTCTGCCTATCAGGGTATTAGTTTATCGGCGAAATTAACGTCGCCCATTTGCCCACTAGTTATGGTCTCTTTAAACAGAGAAGATTGTCTAATTGCCTGGACAATTTTGAGAAAGCAAGAGCGAGAAAGAAAGAGAGAGAGAGAGACGGAGAGGGAGCATCCAGACAGAAAAATGTTGACTTTCCCTGCAAGCTTAGGATTAAACGCGTTGACTCATACATACCGACGACGTAAGACAGAAGAGAGGAAAAAAAAATAAAAGACACAAGCCAGAGCACGGTAAAGGCAGCGTCGCGATTGGCCGGCCAATTGCTGCAGCAGCTATCTTAATCGTCTTTAATTGGTTCGAAATATAAAGTCGTCGCGGTCTTCAAGACAAGTGGTGTCTTCGGTTCAATTGACAGCGTTCCACTTGCAAGATACGACGTCGATAATATCTCTTATCGGTGCTCCACTGCACATCGCGAAGAAATTGATTGCGTTCGGCCACAAGTGATTCACACGTCCGGCAGATAAACGCGAAATCGCAAGAATGCTATGTAAACATTTACGACCGAAGTCCATACCTGCATCACGACGACTGTCCCGAGTGAAACCTCGCCTCGGGGGAACGCGATTCCGCCAGCTCGATGCAGCGTAATTTTCCAAAAGATTTTATTCCCATGCTAAGACGAGATAACGCTCGGTAAACAATCCAGGCTGGGGCGCGTTGAAAATAAAGCTTATCGTGCATGCGCGTCGGCCAAAATCCTAACGAGATAACGTGGCACATGTTGCGGATATAGGATGTGTCCTTTCGACGATCTCCAACGGCGATCACGTTTCGCAGGACGGTTAGTAGGTCGCCATGTACTTAGTCGACGCGAAAGTAATGCCAATGACGTACACCACTAGCAAATTCCCTTCTTTCCTGGCACCCTCCAACCCCCGCCGACCCCACTTCGTTGCGGGGTCACGTCCTGTTATACGTTCCCCTCGTCCGCCATGAATTGTTCCTTCTTCTGCTTACTCGGTGGACGGAGTCAGTGGGAAACGAGCGAAGCGCAGGAAGGGTTGCTGATTTTAAAAGCTTCGCTAGACTCTGCTCGGGTTCGAGTCGTATCAGCTCCGGGAATTCGACGATCGTTAAATTTCTCCAGGGAATTTTCGAGAGTTTCCACATCGTTAACGTGGCTACTTCCTTTCGAATTAGCGAGGGTCACAGCGAGTCTTAGGGGTTGAAGCGAGCGAAAAATCGAGAAATTTGGAGAGTTGAACCGAGACTTGGGATTTGTTTTCAAGGTACAGAATTTGGAACTGGATAGAAGGATCTGATTGGACGACGTGATAATAACCAGATTAGGGTGGACAAGCAAACGTCTGTCTTTACAAGAGTCCAATTTCCTTTGAACTGGTCCACGAGCCTTCTGGATTCTTGGATAATCCAAACATTCAAATGCCCGCTTCGCTTCTCCCTTCTTCTTCTGACGTCACTGTGATTCGTAAAAATAGCGAAACGATCTGTTTGCGGCTTAATTTCTTAACACGTATTTACATTCCCGTGATACCGTTTGCATCGTCGAAAGTTCAGGTCTTTTATATCCGTGCAAAGTAACTGTCTTCATGTTTGCCGAACGTCATCGACCTATCAAAATCGTTTGCTCGATACGTACGTCGAATTGCATCCTCGAGTCACGTCCATACGAATTCGACGATTAAATTCCCGATTATTAAAAACCAGTGGATGTGAAATTGAATCGAGTCGAGCAGAGATCTTTACCAGCGAAAAATCCTGACACGAGGAATCCCGTATTCAGGTTACTTTCTGACGTCGCTCTACGCCTTCTGACGTCATTCACCTGCCGTAGCTTCTCCGCAACGTATCTCCCATCCTGCTCTATCTCGCACGAGTTCCGTCCTCCCGTATAACCTCATCTCGCTCTCTGCTCTGCCATCCTAATGTCTAGCCGCTCTATAGCCTGTAAGCCACGGGAAATATAGGAATTTTGGATAGCTCGTTACCCCACGGCCGTGGCTCAGCCGCAGGGATTCTTGATCGACTCGATCTCCTCGTGATACACACGTCCACGTATACAAAGATCCGCGCACACACAGAGATTTGGGACAATGTTTTCCCTAAGAGAAGGCATCGATCGAACCACGTTAACCCCTCCATCAGGTATCCCTCCTTCGCCTCGTGTGGCAGGGTGTGCTGGGGACGCACGACTTGGTGGTTTCAAGGGTGATTTCTTTTATTAAAGTCGATCCACGTTTTACATTTCTCCGTTACTCTGTAAGCCGAGATCGTTAGATCCAGCGAATTGGGAATGAGCGTGTGCACAGATAGGTCTCTCGTGATCTAGGCGTCTAGCTTTAGTCGCTTCAAAGCCGTTCCGAATTATTCATAGACCGGTGACCAGTGGAACACCTCTCCTATTCTTTAGGTAATGTAATCGGTGATAATACAGTGGATACTACTTAGCTGATAGTCGAATAGTGTTAGGTACGTCCGCAACAAAGGCGCATCCGGTGGTCTGAAACGGTATTCGATATCCAGGTTTCCAGTGATTACGTTCGATTATAGGCTACGTCTGTTCGAAGCTTTTAAGGGGAAACGCCGTCGAAAGAAAACGAACAAGTGTTCCTCTTCGAGATACCGTTTGCAGATTGATTGATAGATCGATCGGCTTGCGTCACGGCTTATTTTAAACCGACGTGTTCTTTATGCACGTACTATTCCGAGAGCCTGTGCCAAAAATTGAGGACTCGCGTGAAAAGTATTCCGTTACCTCTCCGCGTTTAGCATACACACACGCGACAGAGAGTCGCGTAATTCGTGGCAGAGAGCCTATTGCTCCTGGTCGTTCACGCGAACCCAAAAGCGGTTCCCTCTGCTTTTCCGGTCCCGTTCCTGCCGATAAGAAGTTTATTAACGCGACTAAAAGCCAGCCACTTCTGCCTGCTGCGAGCTGATCCTCCTCGATTCTCTACGCGCTGGAAAAGTAGGTCGTGCTGATGTGAATTACAGTCATCAGCTGTAATACCACAACATCATTCCGTAGACAGAGCCAGTTCCGCGGTAACGAAGCCTCTTTATCCGAGAATAGTCTGCAATTAATATCTCCGATATCCGTTTCACCCTAACGTCTCGTGCGTAATCGTTCCCTTCCTTGCAATTTCTTCGCAATTTCTTCGCAATTTCTTTCCAATTTCCACATTACGTAATGGTGCATGTACGAAACGACCAGGTACCGTCTTCCTCTCGTCGTTTCTTCCGCCGAGAGAAGAACTGCTCTCAGAGATAGACCAGAGGCAACGGGAAACATCGGCGTAGCCTTAACTAGACACTAGCCACGATTCGTGACGACTGTTCCCCAAACGAGGGTAGAGACAGAGGCGACTATGATATCGGATATGAAACATGTCCGCGACGCCTATGCGCAATTCTGCTGGCAGAGATGATTCCGAGCGTGGAGGCACGGCGAATAAGTAAACACAGCCGTGTGCACTGGAAACAAAGGTACCGGTGAGCACTCGTTGGAACGAACTCTTGGCAGGTGCAACTCCAACAGGCGTCCCAACGGCGATCGTCGACACACGTTTCATCGTTGCACGTTGTTGTTGGGCTAGACCTTTCGTGGCTTCTCCCATTCTTTCTCGCCGTTCTAAAGACCGTTGGGCCGTGCCAGGGACTTGGTCGAAGTACACACTTGGTGTGAGGTATACTTGGCAGCCTCGCGGTTGTATACAGCCGGGACGAAGCAGATGGGGAGAGAAAAGAGGGAGAGATAGAGAGAGAAAAGGAGAGATCGTATTGGACGTTGACCCGCGTGGTTCAACTGTTGCTCCCATTCGCGCATCCGGGAACGCGTGTAGGAAGGCCTGGGGATCCCGATGATAGAAGTCTTCTGTTAGATAGGTCTACCAGCCCTCCCCTCTATCGTCGAATGCCTGAAGGATGACAAAGCCAGACGGTTCGCACGGATGGCACGAAGGGAAACGTTTGCTGCTTCTTCCATGATAAGAGAGATTAGCAAGATGTAGGTCGAATATGACGGACTCGAGGTTTTCCACGTTGCATCTGCCTCGCGAGGACGCGTTGTAGGTTATTAATTATACATTCTTGCGATCTGATCCAGTTACGTGTGGATTATTAGAATGGTAGCGTAATGCAGTTGCAACATTGTAACGGCATAGATGTGCTCTCGTTTCGCCTAAGTTATTTAGACGTTTCGTCGTGTTGCCCGTAGACAATGGTCGACACGTAATATCAGCCTCTTGAAGATTAATGGAATTTTGTAGCACTCGGCGTGCTCTATAACGGCCGATGCTACTCTCCATTCTAGATAACGCGTCAAATTTCCCGCTATCTAACATTTTTACCACCCCCCCGAGGCGTTCCTTCGAGTACCTTCAAAAATCTCGTATTTCTTTGTATTCTTTTTCCTGCTTTACGTCTCACCGTCAATCCGTATCTCCCGGAAACTCGGACGGCAGAGAAAAATGAAAATAAATAGGAAATTGCTAGGTTTCTCACGAATCAACGAATTTTCATCTACCACAGACCTGTGTTTTCCCGAATGCTGGCAATCGCGTAACTCTTAAAATAGTTCCAGGGTTACCTGGAAGACCGAGATGACTAAATATTTCGTGCACACGACTTAAATTCCGCGTGTGCATTTCCCGAGAAACCAGCACAGGCAACCGCTCTCCATTCGAATCGATGATCCCTGAGTGCCTAACCGGGGATCGTGTCGAACAGCGATTAACGCGATCCCCGAACATGCTACCGCCAACGGCAACCTGTCACACAGTCGACAATGGCGTCGTGGCGACGCCGGTAGTCAGCCGGTACGCGGGCGCCGTGGCGCCAGCGTCGCTTATCCCTTCCCTCTGGCCGTTTCATCCGCCCAGGCGGTCTTCTCTCGAAACCACGTCCTCCCTGGGTGTGGTTCGAAACCGTGTCGATTGTGTCCAGTTTCCACCGTGTCTTCCCTCGTCTTCTCTTCGCCGACTGCTCGTGAATCTCGCGCTTTCCGATCTGCGGCATAGTTCAGGCGAATACTCCGCGGGTTCGCGTGCACTCGAACGGTGAACGTAACGGACAAGGAAGGAGAGTAGGATAGCGGGCGATAGAGGGAGAGGCCGAAGGGTATAGGAGAGGGTGAAAGCCTGTGAGAGAAAGAGAGACAGACCAGTGGGGCGAGCCACGGCTGTTCATCGATTCGTCGCTTCCACGGTTCTGTGAACGCGGCATGAAAAGAGAGCTAGCACCACCAATGGGCGCGTTTGACCGGTTCTCGTGCGTGTGCGTGCGTGTCCCCGGTTCCTCCTAGAAAAGCGTTTTCCTTCCGGTTTTACCTGGGCCCTGGGTTCTAGCCTTCTGGCAGTTCCTCACGTTCCATCGACGGCGCAATCTGGCGGTAGACGACGGGTTCAGAGAGGCCACCCTTTGCCCTCTGCACGAACCTTGCACGCAGAGAGGTTATGTTTGCTCGGGATTCATGACGCTCTGACAGGAGTGGAAGGCGGACGGAGCGGGTAAGTGACGAGCCTTGTGCCTTTCTTTCCGCCGATCTGCAGTCTCTCGGAATTTCGCGAAGGTGGATACTTCGATTAGTCGAAATTATGGTCGGTGTAATAAAGAAACGTTGAAAATGGGACTTTATTCTCGGACGTTCGTCGCAGGTCGGAGAAAAAATTTTTCTCATTTTTATCGATATTTTTTACTTTTTTCTATTTTTTTTTTTTTTTCCGTTTCTCGTATTTTTCTTTTTCTTTTTCTTTCCGGTGTCTTCCTTTTTCGAGCACCGTTTTTTTCCCAAGACACCCAATAGTATATTCCATTTAGCAGTGTTTGCTCATGCGCCGAACGATTCCATCGGTTCCGGAAAATGAGAACACCTTGCGTTGGATCGACAACCCTCGGGTTCCCCGGGTTGCGAGACCTTTTGGAGGTGAAGGACGCTCGTTGCCACGAAATTTCAATGTGGCTCGAAAAATCGAGTTAATGGCGAGACTGTTGACGAGGCTGGATGAATAGCGTCGGCGCAGGTGGAAAATCGGAGAAAATATGTCGGCTTTATCAGGGGTGGTCTTAGGTCATGGAGTGGCTTCACCGGTCGTTTACAGATCTTCCGTAAATTCGTAGATCGCTTTGGGTCGCGCGTGATCGGTTCGTTAGTTAAAAATAGCTTGTTAAAGTCGAAACTCGTAGTACGGTGCTCTCGCGTACGCGTTTGGCGAAATATTTTTTCCGGGTTAACGCAGACGCGAGAGCTCATGCCGAGGATAGAAAAGTGAGAGTTGATCTTCGCCGATATTGAGAACGCTATACCTTTTCATCCAACAATGGAAGATTAATGACGCTCCATTAATGCGCAAACAAAGAAACACGTTGACCGTGACACGAATCTGCCAACGAATGTGGCAGCCGGGGTAAAAATAGAATAATAAAAATGTAATAACCATTGTATCATAGCGGATCCCTCTGGTAACGACCAAGTACAAAAATAAAAGATGTCGCTTAATGGAAACGCTTGAAACACAAAGACGAGATCTATTGCACGATATCGAAGTTCATCTTTGATTCGATCACGCTTATAATTCTTTATCTCGCGATTTTGTGCCTTGGAAACGCGCCTAGCGTTTCACAGACGAATCCATGTCGAAGCAACCCTTGCGAATCGTCCCTTGACCCTTGGGCTTTCTAAGAGTTCCCGCTTTAAACTCGTTAATCGAAGATCGAAGGAGGTTCGAGGACCATTACGAGTAATTTCTGTGATTCTGGTTTCAGGGGTGGCAACGGTCTCGCTAGGAGGTGTCAAAGCTGGCGCGTGGGGCGGGAGAGTCAGCGGTGGTCTGGCTCTGGTTCCGGTGGTAGCGGCGGAAACGGAAGCCGCGACAGCAACAGATCAGAGAGAAGGACTGGAAAAGACTAGTGCGACCCGCTGGAGGAGGAGATTCGAACGTCTTCTAGTTCTTCTTTCTACCCTTCCCGTTCCTGGTGGTGGAAAGCTCGAGGACGTTCACTGGCCACCGGAAGAAACGTCGTCGGCGTGACACTGGGCCCCAAGCACCTTCGTCAAGGCACGCGAGATAGGATTAATCCATTCCTGAAAAATCACATTTTAGGCTTCGTTGGAGGTGTACCGCCTCCTCCTCGAGAAACACCCTTTTCCACCCTTCGCGGGTACTCACGCTTAGCGCATCATTAGACAGGCATCATGACCGAGGTCGAAAACCTTCGTCAGGAGGCGGACGTGCTGAAAAATGCCATTCGAGTAAGTCGATTTGTCAATTTCTCGTTAACCTTCAGAAATTTCTAATCTTGGTACGATCGAGTCCAGCTGACTTTCATTAATGCACAACGCAGAGGAATTTCTTTTAGGTAATTTGGAAAGACGTCGATTATCTAGCTAATTTGCCAGGTTGTGGCTTACTGGACGAGTGTGTGCTTTAAACGGGTAAAGAGTTATTACAGCGCTGATAGTTGTGTAATTTTGTAAAATACCGTAGCCAGAGAGTAATCGCGGGTTTGGGAATCTGCCGCGAATGTAATTCGTACAGCCGCGTTCGTAGCCAGTTCGTTCGATGATGTTAATTAAGCATAGGAACTCGGTATGGAATTTCATATCGCGACGGTTTCCTGTCAATGAATTATCTGGGAACCGTAAGAGATAGTGACTCGCGATAGCATTGGGCGGTGGCTCTCGTTTAACTTCGACACTTAACATTTCATACGGCTATGGATTTTCATTGACTCGACAATAATCTCGTTAGTTTACTATGCGCTAGGTAGGCTAGTTCGTAGTTGAAATTCGTGTAGCACTTCGTACGTTCTCCTTGTTTGCCGGCAATCTCTGAAACATCGAGGACAAAGCAACAGTTCTACGTGCAACAGCGGTGTATTGTCTTAACAGAAAAAAGTCTAGGGCGTCTCTCGGCTCGAAGTGCACTTGGCATTAAACAACCGACCCCTATTCTCCCCCTAACGAGCCGGCGATTTTTTATTTTTTGTCGTGCTCCACCCTAGGGGATTGAAACAAAATCACAGACAATTGTTTATTAAAACAATACTCTCTTTGCATGACTTATTATTTTTACTCCATTTCTCACACCAATCTCTTTCTCCTCTCATTTTCTTCGCGTTTTCTTCTTTTCACTCCACATTGGTCTCATTCGTTACCGCCCTCGTTGTTATTCATTTATTTCCACTCTACATAGACGTACTCGACAATTTATCAATCTTTCCCAACCCGGGAAATCGATATTCGATATTACCATAGAATCTAAAAATAGTAATGCAAGATCAACTCGATTTGCTCCAAATCTCCAAATTGGGCCGCGAAACACTGCCGGTGTGTGCTATTCAGACACCTAAGATCGAACGATATTGATCTCGCGTACCCCATTCATGCCACCAATTTGCATTCAGATTTTCATCCCCGTGTTCAGAGAATCGAGAAAAAGAACCGATTCTGCAAGTTCAGCGATTTTCCGTGCGATTCGTGCTATTGCCCGATCGTCGAATGATCACCACTGAACACGCGTGTGCGTGAAATACACGCGAGTTAAAAGTTGTTGGCGTTAGAAAATGCTCCTCGATGGCAATCGGTAGATTCTCCACTTGTATGGTGGTGGAAACGTGAAACTCATTGTCAGAGGTGGTAGTGGTGTAGCGTGTGGTGGTGGTAGGGCGCGGCATAACCGTCGCTTCACTCTGATCAATACGCCACCGTTCCTTCTCTCTCTCTTGCTCGATATGCCTCTCTCTCTTTCCAGTTTACTCACGTTCTGTCTTGTTCCTTCTCACCACCTGTTTCTCTCTTTCACCCTTCTTCGTGCGTGCGTGAAATTACACGCATCGTCGGGCGTGCTTGGTAATACGCGGCTGCAATAAATAGAATGTACGTTCTTAAATACCCCGTAACAGTATTTCGATAATTTATACACATCACGTCTACCCTCTCTGTTCGTCTACGGTTAATTGAACAGTTCAGAGTAATTCTGCGCGAGTGCTGAAAATGGTGTTGAAGACGGACATTTTCTTATGTAGGCACGAAACAATGTTAATTAGGGTCCCTAAAGCGACCCGTAAATGCACTTAGCGTACCCTCCTTAAATGCATTGTCGCATCCTGAGTCATTTCATAAGGCTGTTCTGAAAAGCCTGCAACTCGATAAAAATCGCCTGGCAGGTTGAGAACTTGTACTTTCTTCTTTTTTTTTTGGAATAAGTGATTTATGGAATTCTCGAAATTAACTCGTCGTGTCCAGTTGGGATTTCTGATATTTTGCTGATAGAATTAAGTGTCCTTTGCTCGAGTCCTTCGAGTGGTTCATTTCGGGGATAATGTTTTCGTTCAGTCAAGTGTAATTCGTTTTGCAGGATGCCAGAAAAGCAGCATGCGACACGACGTTGGTTCAGGCCACGTCAGGCATGGAGCCTATCGGCCGGATACAAATGCGCACGAGACGCACGCTTCGTGGACACTTAGCCAAGATCTATGCCATGCATTGGGGCAGTGACTCAAGGTACCTTTCTTCTTCTTACGAGTCTCGTTATTAATGAGCTTATTGTTAATTAGAATTTAGAGAAGAAAATACATTTACTTTTCTTGTTTGACAGAAACTTAGTATCAGCCTCGCAAGATGGGAAACTAATCGTTTGGGATAGTTACACTACCAACAAAGTTCACGCGATCCCCTTGCGCTCCTCATGGGTAATGACCTGTGCGTATGCACCGTCAGGTAGTTACGTGGCCTGCGGTGGGCTGGATAACATTTGTTCCATCTATAGTCTTAAAACTAGGGAAGGAAATGTAAGAGTTAGCCGAGAGCTCCCAGGTCACACTGGGTACTTGTCCTGCTGTCGATTCTATAACGACAACCAAATTGTTACTAGTTCTGGGGACATGACTTGGTAAGGAACATTTACTTTTATTGCATCCATGTTGTTCCATTCCAAATTTGCACCATGTGCATAGCAATTACGCTGGCTGTAAATTAAAACATGAAACTTTATTTCATTCAGGAAGATGCACTGAACATTCAATCATAAAGTCAAAACACGAATGTGCAATAAAAATATATCCTACCCTTCTCATCTTTCCTCTTAAAATTTTTGGTTTTCCCCCCCTGAATGGTAATTATATACTTCGTATAAAAATATGTGAACTTTGTCTGAATGTATTTCTTTCTTCGATCAGTGCCCTATGGGACATAGAAACAGCACAACACTATACCGCCTTCGTTGGGCACACGGGCGATGTTATGTCCCTGTCCTTGGCTCCAGACATGAACACGTTTGTATCTGGTGCGTGTGATGCTAGTGCAAAATTGTGGGACATTCGTGAAGGAACTTGTAAGCAAACTTTCCCTGGCCATGAAAGCGACATAAACGCTGTTACGGTAAGAATTTAATTCTTTAATTACTCATCTTCTAATTAATTTTATTCGCGGTATATAATACGTATTGAAGATGCTGAATGATTCTATGAAATAACATATTCCTTTCTATTGAAGGAAACGGCAAAAGATTCACAAATATATTAATGCTAATTATTTTATTTTATTATTTAGTTCTTCCCGAATGGATACGCTTTCGCGACGGGTTCAGACGACGCGACATGCAGAATTTTCGATATTAGGGCAGATCAAGAATTGGCGATATATAGTCACGACAATATTGTCTGCGGTATCACCAGCGTAGCGTTCAGCAAGAGCGGTAGATTATTGTTGGCCGGCTACGATGATTTCAACTGCAACGTTTGGGATACAATGAAGGCTGAGCGAGCTGGTACGTCTTTGATTTTCAAGATTATCTTCATGAGAGACGAGAAACTTTGTTTTAAGCCCTTCTCTCAAATTTCATTCACCTTTTTTTTATATTTGCTACTTCTGTTATTTAATATTTGACAAAGGAAATTCTCATTTACATTTTATTTCATACCGTTTATTTTCACACAGTGATGCAGCTGTTTAATTGTTACATCAAATCGTTTCAGACAAGATAATATTTTATTTGAACAATTGATCACGTAATATCGTTGTAAACGAGTGTTATCGAGAGGAATAGGATCTAGTAGGTGAAAAAGGGGGCTGTTTCGAAGTATTGCACTTTTATTTTACAGGAATTCTTGCCGGTCACGATAATCGCGTATCTTGCCTCGGCGTTACGGAGGATGGTATGGCAGTAGGGACGGGCTCATGGGACTCGTTTTTGCGTATTTGGAACTAACTTGGGGTTCACCCCAAGACGTTCCTTCACAGAACCAATTGCAGCCAATCAGCATACAGTATAAGCATCAAATACCACCACTTGGCCACCGAAGTCGGCGTGTCCGTGTCCTCGACGGAGGCGAAATATTCGCCAGGTTCACCGGAGTTGACGTTGATTAGAAAGTTTGGACATCCGCTAGACAACAGCAGTAGAAAGACCCACGGCAGTAGCAGCAGTAGCAGCAGCGAATTTAAGAACGTTTTGGGTTGTGGTGGTAAAAAGGACTATCGGAGGCGCGTCGTCGATTTAACCTGGCGACGTGGCAAAGTCGGCGATAAAATCACTCGTGGATATCAGCGCTTTTAGTATATGAGTATAGCGTTTGTTCGATATACTCGAACGTACGAATGATGAGGATAATGATCGAGAAAGAAGCGTGGCGAAAGGAAGAACGACAGAACGGAGAGGAGTACCAAGGCTGACAGCCATATCTCTCTGATGTCGTGCGCGTACTTCCTTTTTCTCCTCCCCTTTCTCAAGGACTACTTGGCGAACCTTCGGAGAGCACGTGCTGTTGATATATACCTTGATAGCGTCTCCTCGAAGATCTTCCCGAATTCGAAGGTTGAAACAAGAATCGATTCCCGACACCTCCTATCCGAGGTCTTCGTCGTTGGAAACGTTTTATTACGAATAAGAAAAAGAAAAAAAAGGTTACGAGCGTTCACTGCCGATGAAGCGCCGACATGGCTGCTCCGGCGGTTGATTTTACATTTCTTTTCGACACGCACGAAGCAAGTCGTACCAGGCGAGAACACGATATGAAAAGAACGAAAAATGGTCGCTCGTGCACAGCACAAAAGCAAACATGATCACGAAAACTATATATATACATATATATTACATATATGTATATACGTATGTCGACGAGCAGCCAAGATTACGATAATCTCGCATATTGCATTGAATCTACACGCACACCGTACGCACGTGTATTAATACGTACATAGAAAACTACATACATACATTTGCACACAAAACGCGAAGTACCGCAAACAAAAGGCATCTGCTATTAAGTACATAGTGGGTCATCCACGAGTCCCGACATATAAGTCACTATCTCTGATCATGTTTTCTCTCTTTTTCCCGTTTTCTCCTCTTTCTTTTTGTGTTTAAATTTCGATTCTTCTTTGTCGTGAATCTCATACCCTCAACGGGGTGGCTAGATAAGAAAAAGGGAAAAAAAAGATTCGCAAAGATTGCATCGTTTCTTGTGACTATAACCGCCGAGTTTGCATTAATATCTGTAATTTTTATAGATTTATCCTTATTTATTTTGTATAGACCTCTTCTATATAGACCATCTTATATACGTTCTTGTGTCTTCTTTTTTTTTTTTTTTTTTTTTTTGAGAAATTGAG